AGGTTAGGGCCGATTCCGCCCTTTCGGACGAATGCGGGCGCGGCACTTCGGATGAACCCTTCGGCTCGTCACGGCGACAACTTAATAAAGGATATATTACAACTAAAGCAGTATAATAACCATAACTAGCGGCGACAAAGTTCGCCGCACACCAACCTAATCTAGTGGGTAACATAAAAATAACCAATGGTGATAATTTGAATCGGAAGAAATTTTTTGTTCTAATTAGATAAAAAATAATTCTTTCAAATCGTCGCATTATTTGTCGATCATCATTTAATAAGTGTTTGGTGAAAATATTTTTTTAGTTTCTTCATTTCACTCTTACCTTTATAATTACTATTAGACATTGTTATAATTTATAAGAAAGTAGTTATTTTTTTTTTAAAAAAATAGTAATATAATACATATTGTCAAGGTATGTATGTAGATCCTACCGTAGTATGTGAGGCACAGCACATTAGAATTCATTGGTAATTAATAAAAATAACCAAATGGTAATAATTTGAATCGGAAAAATTTTGTTCTAATTAGATACATAATAATTTCTTTAAAAATAATTATCATCGCATTACAAAAATAAAAATTACGGGACAGATACATTTTTTGGGCATAGCGGACATCTCAATTTTAGCACATCAATAATTTTTGCCAACAAAATGCTACAGGCAGGATCTTCTTTCTTGTTTTTGAATTGTTCTTAAAAAATCATTTCTTTCAATAGCATTTATACAATCATAAAAAACTGATAATCATCTGTTGATTCTTCAGAGGATGAATCAGAATTGTCGAGGCAATTAAAATACGCCTTCGAATATCCATTATTTAATTTTTAGGTTTAAGAAAAAACGCGTTAATCGCTAATGTAACACAAAAATCAGAATCCCGATCCACTTTCTACTTATAATATAAAGGAAAGGACCAAGAATCTCAAAATCAAGTTCAAAATATTACCAATCAAGAAATTTATGAGCCTTGCAACAAATCCAAGATTACAATAAGAAACCATTACAATTTCTCAAATTATAAATCTTAATCACAAAGATTTACCAATTAAAATGCCTTTCAATAATAGTAGTAAAGAAAAGGTCTAATTGTAACTTTCAAATGTTAACTTTTACTTTAAATAATTTTTATTATAATCATAAACGCTTGTAATAAATGTAATATTTTTAAAATTGCTATATCAAGCTTATTAAATAAAATATATTAAACATTTTGTGGTACGATTTTCGTTTGATATATCATGGTAATTGCGTCATGTTGATATTTTCACGGAAAATTCAACCCGATAGTGAATCTGGTAAAATATCGATATGAAACTTCACGGGCGAACAATTAGTAAATACATACTCACTTTGAAATTATTATATCAGCAAGGTTATATAGTCATTAGAGGTTTGAAAATATTAAATTAATTTTATAAAAAAAAAGGAAAATACCAGATCGTTGCACCGCTCATTTAATCAATGATAATAAAGTTTTTATATTTAATGATTACGATTAAAACTTTAATAAAATAGGCAAGGAAAAATTCTAAAAGAAAGTCTTTCGAAGTTTACAATTCAAACATATATTTTAAAGGGCGTAACTATATAGAAAGATCATCGACAGCACATTAATTATTTGTTTAATCATTTAATTATTTATCGTTCAATAGAAAATAATAAAATATAGTAAAATAATAAATACATGATAGTTAAAAGATAAGATCACCTATTAATGATTGGAATTGTATTGGGTTATAAATAGGTGCAAGTAATTGATCATTGAGTTCATCAAAAGAAGCATAATTACTATATAATTGACCCAAATTCGTATTTGGATCATAATTCATCATTAAAGGACCTCCGCTTGCACCCTCTCCGATATTTAAGTCATGTACGATATAATAACCATTTGCAAATATTGTTTCTCCTTGCCACGTACAAAGATGTAGTCCATCATTTGGACAATTTTCAAGATCACCTCCATTCGGATAACCGCGAATAGTTGTGGGAACATTGTCTCCTGGATTGAATCGAAAACCGAGAGCTCCCGTAAAATGTTTTAATGAAAGGCCATTCCAGTTAAAATTAAATAACATCATGCCCCAATCAAATTCATTATCATCATTATGAAGAAATTCATTTGTTATTACCACCTTGGCGATAGGAATATTACCAAGTGGACCAGGTTGTCCATTGTCATATCCAGGAGAAAAGATTATATTATCAAAAAATGAGTTGGTATCATGATGAAAAAGACAATGCGCTGCAGTAAGCCCAATATTTCCATCATTAGTATTGATTACACTAGCGGTACAAGTATAATCTTCACCATCCTTGCTCATAAATAACAATCCGATGGCGATAGATTTAACTTGATCTACATGACCTTCATTTGCTACCCTAGTATTTACATCATATTTTCTCTCAAAAGGTTGCATAGAATTCATATATTTAGAGGAGTCAGTTGTATTTTTTATAGTTTTGACACCACTTCTTGTTCTAAATCCAACATTTTTAATTGTTAAGGGTTTAGCTTCTTTCATTTTTTCCAATGTCCAATAATTCTCATCATATTTAGGAATCGTTGGATTTGAATAACTTGAATCGGTTTTGAAGGTTAACACAACCAATGCAGTTAAGAAATAAAATATAATTTTTTTGTTCATTTTTTTTTTTTAATTAGATAAAAAATAAATAAATAAATAAATAAATAAATATTGGAGGATTGGTTTTGAAAAGAGAAGATAATTTTTGGGGCTTTTTATCTTAAAAAATTATTTTACTATCATATGAAAAGAGATTCTCTCTTCATTCAATTTTATGAAATGTTCATATTAAATCGGCCGGATTATAATTAACAATAACATTGATGTAAATGTAATAACGGAGTGGCTTGTATTAATAAATTTTGTAAAAATATTTCGTTCTATTATATAGTACAAGTAAATTGGTAATTTTTTTTTTTTTCATTTAAGATTCTTATTTAGTAAGTATTCTTATAACAAAAGAAAACACCAATTGAAATATTTTTACTATCCTCGTTCTTTCTAATGTCCATATTTGGTAAAAATCCCCAACTGTACTCTTTTTTAACATAGTACAATTAGGGAATTTTACCAAATATGGACATTAGAAATAACGGGGGTGGCTTCGATCAGGTGTAAATCGACACTTAACGCGCGTTTGTTAATAAATGTTGTGACTGAAATTGATTTTCGTCTGAAATCGGAATTCCAATTTCAGTTAACTGATCTTCGAATCTCAATTTCTGACACTCGAAAATCGTCTGAATTCCAACTTCAATTTCAGTCAGGTGCTTTAATTGTCACCTGACGCAAGTCAACTGTTATTTGACGCAATTTTTTTAATCACTTTTTTATGCAACACACAAAATAAGAAAAACTTTTTGTGAAATTCGCATTTTATTAATCAAAAAAAATTTTACCGAAGTACATTTTTTTTCTTATTATTCATTATAAAATAAACTATATAGAGTATTTTAATTCCTTTTAATATTCTTTTTTTATTCACTTTTCTCAAGTAAATACCATATACCCTATATATTTGAATAATTTTTTAATTATCTATTATTGTATATATGATAAATAATAACAATAAACATAAATTGCGAAATTTTACCTACTTAATTAACTCCTTTTTTGTTTTGGCATTGCCTACCATCATGACATCGGCTTCCATAATTATTTCCCATTTTTTTACAATAGCACCTATTACTATTGCAATTCCCTTACAATTACAAATTGTTCCTGTAGTTGAAGCTACAGTTTGAAGACGTGCAGCCTCTCTGACAGTAATAGTATTTGTAGGTATTGTTTCAAGTTCTGGATATTGGTTAACACCAAGGGGATCAATTTCTCCTGATGAATAAAAGAT